TTTAAAATAGAATTTATTTTTAAAATTAAAATGATCAAATTCATAAATTTTCATGAAATTATATCGAAATTAATTCTGATGGAAAATTTAAATTAAGAAAAATACATTTTAAATATCGTATACGTCTATATGATTAAATTTTACAATCAAATCTAACATCCCATGTAAGAAAAAAAGATATGCAAAAGTTCATTATTAAATACGAAAGTTTGCTTGAAATAGTTGATTAAGTAGTAATAGACATTGTTTGTGTAAAGCATTACTTTTCTACTAAAATTAGCTTTAACAGTAGCATAGTACTACATACTCAAATTCTTTATACGAAAAAGTAAAAGAGCTGAAGAAAGTATTAGGAGTTCCGTTTTTTTATATGATACTACCATAAAACTTAGGTACTAGTAATAAACAAATAATATCTAAAGCATAACAATACAATTTTATTTGCATCTGGTAATTAATTTTTTTTTTGTTTGTTTCAGCTAGTATCGATAGTAAATATGATGTTGCTATTTCAACAGCTGTTGGTGGTTATCTTGATTATTATGTTGTTGATGATGTTAAAAGTGGTGAATCTGCAAAAAATCTTCTTAAAGAACATAAACAAGGTACAGGTAGTTTTATCTGTATGGATAAAATGCTTCGACATTCTCAACAAGCCAATCGTCGTTTTGATGTACCACAATTAGCACCAAATACATATCGTTTATTTGATTTAATTGATATTAATGATTCGATTTATAAAAATACATTTTATTATGTTCTTCGTGATACACTTGTTGTTGATAATATTGATGATGCACAAAAAGTTGCATTTGGTAGTCAAACACGTTATCGTGTTGTTACACTTGAAGGTGAAACTATTGAACAATCAGGTACAATGGCTGGTGGTGGCTCATTTCAAGCTCGTGGAAAAATGATTTTAAAAACAGCTGACAATCGAACATCACGACAAAGTATTCATATTGATCCAGCAAAAAAAAATCAATTAGAAAAAAGTGTGAAAGAGGTTAGATTAATTATATATAGATATACTTTTTTTTTTTGTTTAATGAGAGATGGTTCCTAAGTGTGACTCGTCAATCGAACTGATGTTCTGTTCATAACTACGTCCCGATGAGACTAGTAGAAATCTATAGCAATTCATCCGCATGTACTGTCCTTTCATAGTTATTATAATGGTACTGAATTTCTCATCTCTGACCAGCTATTGGTGAAAGAATCGAATTATAAAATTGAATTTCTAAAAACAATCATGTGCTATCAGGATCGATGCTTAAAGAAGAACACATCCCTTTAGGCTGAAATTTCCAGAGCATTTTAAGATCCACGAAATCTACCTATGGGCAAAATTTCACATTGAAAGTTCATAATCCAATTGTTTCACCAATACCGTGATACAGATAGAGTCCATCGGGTCCAAAATTCGAGTTCGAGTTCTAGTCAGAGATGTAATGAGCAAAATATCAGTTCGATTGTTGAGTCACACTTGAGAAATATCCCTTGTAAATAAAAATCTTTGTTTTAGGATGGTGAAAAATTAACTGAACTTGAACAACAACGTTTTCAATTGACTACACAAGAAAAACAATTAAAGCAAAAATTAGCTGATGAAAAACGAATTCATACACAAATTAAAAATGACCTTAAAGTAAAAAGTTTTTTTTTTCTATGAATTTTTAAATGAATAATTATATATTTATTCTATAGAATTTACCAAATCATGTTGAAACACTAAAAGCATCAGTTGAAAAACAACAAAAACTTGTTGAATCTAAAACAGTTTCAACAAAAGATCGAGAAAAATATGATGAAGAATTAAAACAAACTAAACAAGGTATTTATATCTTAACAATTTCTTTTAATTTAATTTATGTTCTTATATTTAGAATATGATGCGGCTAATGATGAACTTGAAGAATTAAAAGCTGCAATTGATGTGTAAGTTTCATTTGTTTTTCTTTTTATGAATTCATTTTTGTTTTCTCAGTGTAACTAAGCGTATTAATGATCATAATAAACTTGCTCTTGCTCAACCACAAACTGATCTTGATAATGCAATAAAACAAGTCAAAAAATTACAAAATATAATCGATACAGCTAATGTTGAAATAACCAATGCTCGTCGGTAAATTAAAAATAATATTTTTTCGAAGAAAATTTTTTTACATTATATTCTTTAATTTATTTTAGTAATCTTAAAAAAAGTCAAGATAAAATCAAAGCTAATCAAACAGCTATTGATCAAATATTGAAAAAACGTGGTGATCTTAATACACGATTAAAAAAACTTGAAGAATTAGCAAACAATGCTGATGAAAAGAAAACACAAATTGAAGTAAGTTTAAATAATATTCGATAAAAAGAAAATCAAACTATGTATATCAAATTTTATTTTTAGAATGATTTAGAAACAAATAAAATAAATATGGCAGAATTACGTGAAACAATACGAATTACAGAAGCTGAATTAGCTGATATTGAAAAAGAAATTGTTCATTTAAAACATGAATATGAAGCAGCACAAAAAGAATTAGCTCAATGTCGACATGAAATTAGTGTGATAGATGTCGAGGTATATTGCTTAAACGAGAGAATAAATGTCAGATATTTGAAATCTGTTTTTATAAAAGATCATGAAATTAGAATTTTTGGTAGTTCAAAAAAGCAACTAGAATCTTATGTAAAGCATTAGATCGATGGAACATTTCTAAATAATTCTCTTTCTGTTTGCCTCCATATTTTGCCGATATGTAGGAAATTACTTGAGTAGCGTAACCTTTAAAGATTTTTTGCTCTTGCTTAGATTTGATCGAAATAGCAACTTTGTAGCAAATTCATCCTGAAGGAATCCAGTTTTCGAAAAAAATATATTTGAGAATTTCGATTTTAAACTTTACACACATGACGGTCTCGATTAGACTATCTCATATAGAAAGTTTCATCAATTTTGAATATCGTATTCCTAAGATATGGATCTCTTAATATATTCCTAGAGTCAAGATATCCAAAACTGATGAAAATTTGTATATGAGATAGTCTAATCAGAACCTTTATGTATGCAAAGTTTCAGATCTAAAATTTCAAAAAATATTTTTGTCAAAAACTAGTCTCCTGCTGGCTGGATAGATCTACTAATAAGCCGCTATCTAGACTAAATCTCAGTACGAGCAGAAAATCTTTAGAGATTATGCTACTCTAATGATCTTCTACATATTAGCAAAATATGGCAACAAATGAAGTGAATTACTTGAGAGTATTCCCCTCAGAAAATAAAATTATATTTACATATATATTGGTCAATTTTACGATATCCTAATCATTAATTTGAAAAATCCATAAACCATGATCATGCTTAAAAATAAGGATGATTCAAAGCTGGGCAAGTCTGACTTGTTATTGAAGACGGTAGTATTTCACAAAATTTTCAAGTTAAAGAAAAAACTGTACTCGAAAATTTGTAAGCATTTTCTGGTTTTGAACTCTATTCAAAGTCGACATGTAGTGAATTCGAATTCTAGTTCAAGTTTGAATATTTTCGAACATCGTTAACTTTTTTTAACTGTGACAACCTTTCTTTTATCGATGCATGTCTAATTCAAAGTATTCTGATAAAACTAAACTGAAATTGTTTTGTTTTGTTTTTTAATTAGATTAATGGATTACGTTTATCTCATGTTATTGATGATGAAGAAGATATATCTGATGAGGCTGCATCAACGAACTATCTTAAAGAAGTTCCAATTCAAAAATATGATCGTGCTGATCTTGATGTTTATACAATGAAAGATTTAGTTGCAGCAACATTAGAACGTGAAAATGAATTAAAACAAACACATTGTAATTTAACTGCTATTGGTGAACATCGTCGTGCTGTGAGATTTTGTTTTTGTTTTTGTTTTGCTTAATTGAAATTTTTTATTTTAAGGTTCGTAATTTAAATATGAGACAAAAAGATCTTGTTGAACTTGAAACACGTCGTGATCATATACGAGCAAAACGTGATCGTTTTAATGAACAACGACAAACAGAATTTCGAGCTGGTTTTGATCAAATATCACGTACACTTAAACATATTTATCGAACTATAACAGATGGTGGAGATGCTGAATTAGAATTTTGTTCGAGTAATGATCCATTTGTTGATGGTGTAGAATTAAGGTAAATTAATCTTTTGTTAATTTTTAATTTATAATTGTATCCTATTATGATAGTATTCGACCACCAAAAAAATCTTGGAAACGTATATGTAATTTATCCGGTGGTGAAAAAACATTAAGTTCATTAGCATTTGTTTTTGCTTTACATACATTTCGTCCAACACCAATTTATGTTATGGATGAAATTGATGCTGCACTTGATTTTAAAAATGTTTCAATTGTTGGTCGATTTATTAAAGAACGTACAAAAAATGTAAGTTGTACAAAACAAAAAAAAAGATAAATTTAATAGATATATTTTTTTTGTAGGCACAATTTATTGTTATTTCACTACGTGAAAATATGTTTACACTTGCTGATTATCTTATCGGTATTTATAAAGTAAATAATTGCTCACAAACAGCATCACTTCGTCCAGCTCTTTTTGCTAAAAAATTAGAAGAACGAAAAAAATCACATCTCATGTAAGTTAAAAACTAAAAAATAAGTTTAATTAAAACTTTTTTTTTTTATTTGTTGATTTTAGTTGTTCACAAGAACAAACTAATCCTAGTCATAATCAAGATGAAAACGATGTTACAATGACTGAACATAGTGATCAAGCAAATACTTATGATACTCATAGTACAAGTATTCATCAAAATCAAACTACTATGTCAGATAATAATGGATTCTAAACAAAATATACATATATATATATATATTTTGTTTTTCTTATATGCTATTGTATATAATGTATTGTATTTTTGTCTTTCATTTCATTTATGTAGAAAGAGAAAAATAAATAAAATATATCATCGATGAGTCATTATTGTTCTAGATGATTAAGTGAGTCATCGAAAAATGGCAGTTAATAATAGTGTACAATCAGGCGATTTTGACATGGTAGATTTGTCAGAAGAAGATAAAGTTGCAGCACAGAAATATCTTAGTGAAAATGGAATACGTGGTATTGAAGGTTTTCTTGCTGAACGATTGGATGCATGGCGAAAATGGTTTGTTTTATTTTTCTTATGAATTTTTTATTGTTCATCGAAAGATTTGAATTGTTTTAGTCCATTGAATATTGCAATTACTGGCGATTCAGGATCAGTAAGTATCTTCTTGATATTTTCTTTAAATATCAATGATAGATTATGATTAGAGATAAAAAAAATTAATGAGTATCTTTTTATTCAATAGGGCAAATCAACTCTCATCAATACACTACGCAATCTTCGAGCAGGTATCTATTGAATATTTTTATGCATAAATATTCCGTCATGAATTCATGCATTTTGTATGACAAATGAGCTCAGTTCGTAGATATAAAACTATCGTCAAAAGTTTATCGTTCTCAAAATTATTCAGAATATCAATCATTGTTTTTTCATAAGATGACAATGGTTTTTGACTGAATATATTTTCTTTACTAGTTAAATTTTTTTTGAAGCACAAGGATGACGTCTCTCACAATTCTTATAAAAAATAAAATGTTTAAATTAGCATTAATTTTAAAAGTTAATGATCGAAAAATTTTTTGGCAATGTCGAAATAGTAATACTTTAACTTATTATCATCTTATGAGAAATAGCTATTCTCAAATAATTTTATCTATTGATATAATTAACTATTACTATGAAATTCTAGAGGATGAAGGTGCAGCTAGAGTCGGAGTAGTTGAAACAACACGAATTGTTCAATCATATTCTCATCCAAGTTATCCTAATCTTGTCTTCTATGATTTACCAGGTTTGTTCTTTAAATTATTTTATCTTCTTCTTTTTTGATTTATTTCATTATTATTTTAAGGTGTTGGTACATTAGAATTTAAAAAATTAAACTATTTGGCTCAAGTAAATCTAACTCGATATGATTTCTGTATGTATATCTTTATAAATTTAATCATTGAATTAAACATATATTGTTTTTTTACTTGTTTTAGTTTTAATTATTTCACGTACACGTTTTACTGAAAATGATTTATGGCTTGCAACTGAAATAAAAAAAATTGGTAAAAAATTTTTTTTTATACGAACAAATATTGATCAAGATTTATATAATGAAAAAATTGATCATCCAAAACATTATAATGAAACATTAATACTTGATAGAATACGTGAAAATTGTCTTGCACATATTCGAATAGTTGATGATACTGCAAATGTTTTTTTAATTAGTGGTCGAATTACTTATACATCTCGGTAAAAATATATTTTGAAATTTTGTTTTGATTAATATATAAAATAATTAAAAAATTTTTATAGATTTGATTTTCCTAATATGTGTACAGCTCTTCTACGAGATTATCCAGGTTTAAAACGTCACGCAATGATTTTAGCTATGTCAACTAATTGTAAAGAAGTTATTACAGCTAAAGTTGATATACTTCGTAGTCAAACATGGGTAGCAGCAGCTGTTAGTGCTGCTGTTGCAACTCCACCAATACCTGGTTTAAGTGTTATGTTTGATTTTTCATTAACTGTTGGTATGGTTATATTTTATAAAAAACAATTAGGCTTAGATGATGAATCTTTAACACGTATTGCTCAAATTCATCATATACCATTATATGTTTTACAAGATGAATTACAAAAAATTTTACCAGCACATTTTTTTACAGCTGTACCAGATTTTGTTATATCATTAGTTAAAAAACAAGCAGTTGGTACTGCAACTGAAGAAGTTCTTCGATATGTACCTTATGTTGGTTCAATTATTTGTGCGACTGTTTCATTTTCAATAATCTTATCTGTATTAAGAAATTTATTAAATGTTATGGAAAAAGCAGCATTGACATTAATTGATATTGTTGCTGAAAGAAGTGTTAGTGATGATGAAGATGATGATGAACCTATATAATAAAAAGTCTTCTTTTTTCTTTTTTTCTTTTTTAATGTAATTTAAATACTGGACAAAATTTTTTTTTCTCTATTCATGCAACAGGTATGCTCTACAGTAAATATGTAGTAACATGAAACATAGTGTTTTCCATTATGAAAAAGTATTCCAACGTCTGATATTATATAATATTAGAAGATGGAATATTTATTTACAGTGGAAAACCTCAACTTTAATATTATCATATCATAGAATGAAATACAGTAGATATGCCTGTTAAATGAATATCATTTTTTCTTTTTAAGATTAAAGATGAATTTCTCCGATTTTGAACAATATTTTTATCGTGAACCAGTTGTTGAATCGATTACAGCAGGCGGACATTTCCAATTACTTGATATAACTGATGATGAGAAGAAACAAGCGGAACAATTTATTCATGTTAGTTTAATTTGATCTGTGTTTTTTTTTTGATGTTCTGTATTTTACGATAATATATTTAGAGACATGGTGTTCATGGTTTAGATAATTATCTTTTACAACGATTGGATGTATGGAAACAACATCCATTAGATATTGCCATTGTTGGTTCAAGGTAAGAAGATAAACAAATATTGATTTATGGAATTTTCATAGACAAATATTTTAGTGGTGTTGGTAAATCAACATTTATTAATTGTCTTCGTGGTTTAGAAGCTGAAGATGAAGGTTCTGCAAGTGTAGGTGTTGTAGAAACAACTAATCAACCAATTCCATATGAACATCCAGACTTTCCAAATTTGAAAATATGGGATTTACCTGGTAATTAAAAAATTTATTTTTTCTATAATTTTCTTCACAAAGAACAATATTGATTATAGGTGTTGGAACACCAAATTATCCTCAGTCATGTTATTTAGAAAAAATTCAATTTGAACGTTATGATTTTTTTTTAATTCTTTGTCGAACACGTTTTACTGGTAATTATTATTTTTTAAAAAGAATTAAGTATTATATTCTTGTAAAATCTAGAAAATGATCTATGGCTTGCATCTGAAGTTAAAAAAAATAATAAACGATTTATATTTATTCGTACAAATATTGATTCTGATTTATATAATGAATATGAAGATCATCCAAGTACATATAATGAAAATGAAATATTACAACGTATTCGTAATAATTGTCTTGAATATATTCATACTGTTGATTCTAATGCTGAAGTATTTCTTATATCTGGTCATTTAAAAAATCGTTTACGTTTTGATTTTGGAAAATTAAATGAAACATTATTACGTGATTATCCATCATTAAAACGTGAATCAATGATTTTATCAATGTCAGTTATGTGTAAAGAAGTTTTATTAGCAAAAGTTGCTGCACTTTATCGTCGTATATGGATTGTTGCATCAGCATCAGCAGCTGTTGCTGTTATACCTGTACCATTTCTTTCACTTGGTTTTGATGCAACATTAGTTATGAGTGAAGCTGAATTTTATAAAAAACAACTTGGATTAGATCAAGCTGCTTTACAAAAATTATCAAATGTTTATCAAATACCAATGCAAAAAATCGAAAAAGAATTAAATGAAATATTTCCAATACAATATTTAAATTCTTTAAGATCATTTGTTTTAGATTTTGCAAAAAAACAAGCCATAGGAGCAACAACAGAAGAATTTGCTCGATTTGTACCATATGTTGGAACAGCAATTGCATCAACATTATCATTTGGAGTTTGTTATATGGTTTTATATAAAATTTTAATACGTATGGAACAAGCATCATTGAAAATTATTGATATTGTTATTGATGCATCGAATCGAATGATTCAAGAACAACAACAAAGACAACAATTAATCTAATACTTTTCTTATTTTGTAAATACTTGTTTTTTTTTTTGTTGACGATTGGATTTTATTTTGTAATTCTTCTTCCATTTATTTATTTTTTGAATCATGAATGTTCTATTTTTATTTTTGAATTTTAGATCTTTAATGTCTGTTATTAAATATCGTCCGCCCAATGCACCATTTCACATAGCGATACTCGGTCGTTCAGGTGTCGGTAAAAGTTCACTATGCAATTTAATTCGGAATCTAACTTCTGAACATACCAATTTTGCTCCTGTTGGTGTTATTGAAACAACAGGAATACCTACATGCTATAAACTAATTGATAATGTTTTCATGTGGGATGTACCCGGTGTTGCAACTCCATCCGTATCTAAAGAAGATTATTGTAAATTAATTGATATAAATCGTTATGATATGTTTCTTATATTATCTCGTGGTCGTTTTACTGAAATTGATCGATGGTTAAGTGATATTGTTCGAGATCGTTTTAATAAAACACTTTTTTTTATTCGTACTGGTATTGATGAAGAACTACGTAATCATCGTCGTGATTATCCAACTAATTTTAATTCAATTGAAGTACTCGATATAATTCGTAATAATTGTCTTAAAAATCTCGAAACAAGTCTTTCAAAAACAAATCTATCACTTTATCTTATTAATACAAAAGATAAAACTAAATTTGATTTTTCAAAATTGATTAATGATATCATGGTGCATGTCAATCATGAACGAGATAATCTCATGTTAACATTAATTAAAGAAGATCCTACAGAACAGATAATTCAATCATCGATATCTTCTACTAATACAACATTACAAACTGCAAAAACAATAGTAACTACATGGGCACGATTTGGTTTAGTTTCATATTTATATGATCGATATTATAAATAAAAAATATTTTTGTTTTGTCTTTTTTCATTTATTTAAATGAACAATCACAGATTAAGTTTCTATAAACCAGTAGTTTTACGCACGTCACTTCGACTTTTCATTAATTTTAAAAGTTCGACTAAAAAAGAAAAAAGAATAACATAATATTAATAATGAGTTTCATAAATAAACTTTCTACCAGGAATAGGAAAAACAATTGTAGAATTTTTTTCTGCTGATATATGTGTCAACGTTTGAAGATATCGTAATTGTAATGCTACTGGATTTTCACTAATCACATCACCCGCTTCCTATAAAAAAAATTTTTTTTGTAAATATATTTTTATAACTTCTTTTTTTTTGTTTTTGAGTAATAAAATTTTTACTTTTAAAGATCTTGAAGCTTTTTGTTCACCTTCAGCTGCAATTATTTTAGCACGAGCTTCTCGAGCAGCTAGAAAATAATATTCAATTAGATTAGAACAAAAATACCAAAAAAAAAAGAAGGAAAATCTAAATTCTAACCTTCAGCTTCTGCAGCCATACTACGTTGCATACTAACAGGGAGACGAACATCTTTACTAAAATAGTAATTCAAATGTAAAAAAAAAAAAAAGAATATTTTTGTTTAGAATTACTAACATTTCTACACGTTCAACTTTCACACCCCATGGATCTGTTCCTTCATCAAGATGAACTTGCATTAAACGTGAAATATTTTCTCTCTCACATAAAATTTCTTGTAATGTTTTTGTACCTCTATAAATATCACATAAATCAAAATTTCATTAGATTTTGAAATTAATCAACTTACAAAATATTACGAAGTGTTGTTGCAGCAAGTAATTGTGTAGAGTATCGTGCATTTTCAACATTAGTTACACTTATTATTGGATTAAATATTCGAAAATAAACAACAGCATCAACTGATACAGTCTATAAAAAAAAGAAAAGAAAAACGAAATCATTTTTTAATATTTGATTATTATTCACATACTACAGAATCTCTTGTAAGAATTTCTTGAGGAGGAACATCAAAAGTTACTAAAATATAAAAATTAATTTATAATTATTTTCTTAATTAACTAAATTATTCAAATTTTTGGATTTTGCTAATACATACTTGTTCGTAAATCAACTTTGATTATTGAATCAACACAAGGTAAAACAAAAAATAAACCCGGACCTTTGGCGCCACCTTGACAAGAAGGAAAAAGAAACAAAAAAGTAATTAATATTAAATTAATTTTCTTCTCTTTCTTTATCTGACCCGACAGAATTCGACCAAGACGCATAATAACTGCTCTTTCATATTCTTGTACAACCTATAATGTTATCATTTTCAATAACATTTTCTCCTTTAATATATATGTATACATATATATATATGTTGCTGTCCTTACTTTGACTGTAACACAAAGTGAAAAAGGAAATGTTAAAAGACATATTATATGAGATAATACGACAAGAATCCAACCACATGTACCAAGACCTTCATGTGCATTGCGTATATCGTCTAATAGAAAAATAAATAACTACAGAATATTTTTTCCAAAAAAACAAATAGATAAAGTTAATTAATAAAGCAATTTAGTAGTAGTAATAAAAATTATTTAATTACACGAATAATTTCTAGTAACATTCGATGCATTCACTGATCGATTATAATAGATAAAGAGAATTAAAGAAAAACAAAAAAACAAAATTTAGTAAAACTTACATTCTGAACCAAACATAGTGGTAACACGTTCCTGTTGTTTGGATGTCATAGATAGAACCTGTTCAGCCGAACCGATTCTATTGAAACGCTAGAATACAACAAAAAAAAGGAACAACAAGATTTCCTTTCTCTCTCTGAATTATCAATCATGATTTCTTACAAAATCCTGTTCTGCCGTATCGCATCGATCAGAAAGAAGTGCCTCAGTTTCATGCATTATTTTTATTAGACTGAATACCTCTATCAAGTTTTCTTTTCTTAATTGCACATCACATATCAATGCTCTTATTCATAGAGTGAAAAAGATAAAAAAAATGTTTCTTATGTAAAAAAAACGACAGAGACGAATGACTAGTTTGTTTTTTTTTTTTACTAAATGATTCACAAAAAATAAGCAAATGTTTTTCTTCTTACTCATCATCAACGAATCTAGCGTTGCTAAAACCTAGAACAATGTGGACCGTTCGCGTCGACAAGTAGTAGGCGAAGAAGAAAAAAAGACAAGAATCTATTACTAGGGAATCGTTTGTCGATAGCATGCCGCCTAATGGTTGATGTCTGAATGTAGATTAAATTAGAAAAAAAAGACA